TCTATCTACCTACCTCCACACACACAAACCATATACATACAGTCAGATAGATACATAAATCATAGTTTAAAAGGCTGGCTACAGGTGTGTGTCCTAGGTCCACTTCTTATTAACCATGTGACCTAGACACATGTTATTTAACCTCTCCAAGTCTCAGTTTTCCTTCTCGGGTATAATAAAACCCTATTCATAAGGGCATAGAACTATTTATACACGGGATAATGCATAAAGGTCTCTTAGCATAGTTTTTGGCTCATTGGAAGCACACATAAATGGTAATTACTGTTTAATGTTATTGTTGTTCTATAGTTTACAATTGTATAGTATAGAAAAGAATTCCTCAACCCTGGCACTTTTGACATTTTGGGCTGGACAATTATTTGTGTGGGCTGTTCTGGGTGGTGTAGGGTGTTTAGCGGCATCCCTGGCCTCTACCCAACAGATGCCAGTAGCATCCCCAACCCCACCCAGCTGTGACAACCAAAATATCTTCAGCATTGGCAAATGTTCCCTGGAAGGCAAAATTGCCCCCGGTTGAGAACCACTGGTGTAGAACAAAGAGCAGTGGTTCTAGACATAGGAGACCTGGTTCCTACGGACTAATTTGTGATCTTAGGTAACTCTTCTCACTTCTCTGGGTCTTGGCTTTCTCATATGGTAAAATGGCTGGAAATTCCTAGTTTATCTTTTATGGTTTTTGGGAGGATGTAGTGAGCAAAGAAAACCCTAATGTAGTAAAGAAGTTATAAAAGCAGGATGTCACTATGATTATTTTGTTAAGAGGCGGGCTGTTGAGGGGCAGTTATGGGGAGCCTTCCCTCCAACAGGGGTCAATGCTGACCTGCTCTCTTCTCGGATTCTTATGCTCAGGAGCTACTGGCCCCTCAGCAGCTTCTTAGTGTCACAGGCCAAGGCTTCCCTGTTCCTTTAATGGATGTGTTTGTGGCTTGGCTTGAAGAATTCGAGAGGAAATATTTTCTTCCTAAGTAAAATGAAAATTTTCTTTTAAAAAAATTCTAAGTGGTGAAAACTGCCTTGTCATCTCTAAATTTAACTTTCATCTAAATTTGTCTCTCATATGATGCGAATTAACCAGTGCTCAGAATTTTAACTGTGGCCTCTGCAGATATATTCAGGAAAGAAATGTTCTGAGGGTTTTCAACATCACGGTAGTGATTAATACTATAATAACATGCTGAGTAATACGAGGATAGATTTCTTTATCAGCAAGGGAACATTTTTTGATGTCATATCCTATAATGGGAATCGGCCTGGTGGAGGTTGAGCATACTGTTGTTCCTGTCTTTATTTCCGAAAAAATCTTTAAATAGGAGAGAGCACAGTGTCTGGTAAAAGAGCATGAGCTTAGAGTGTGGTCAGAGCTGTGTGTAGACAGATGAGAGTTCAAGATCCAACCCCATCAGTGGTTGGCTGTGTGATTTAGACACGTCCTATAGCCCTTCTGAACCTCAGTACAATATGTAGGTGTAACTGATCTCTCCCTTTCTACACAGTCTAAAAGACCTTTCAAGGGTTTCTTTCATTCCTCAGAATGTGTATTTGATCTGGATGCCTCAGCAAGACCATTGAAATGAAAACCAATACTTTTTATGTATAATTTATAGGCTTCACTTAAACTAATTGTAGTAGAGCTTGAATCAGATTATCAACATATCTTCCAGCTTATGGGCATATTACCTCTCTACTTCTGATGGGCATTAGTTGGAAATTAAGGGTCAGAAATCACCTAAAGGACAATGCTGTTTACACAGAGTAGAGGGAACAATGCATTTAGTCCTTGAAACAATTCATTTGGTCTTCTGAAGGGTACACACCAATATCCTAGATAGCACAGTAGAGTAGCAAGAAGATGAGCTCGGAATCAGACACACCTGCCATCTGCTAGCTGGGTGACCTTGGGGGCTTTCTGAGCCTCTGCTTCTTCATCAGCAAAAGTAGGGTTAATAATATCTGTCACAGTATGAAGATGAACATAAATAAACCACACAGAAACTCCTATCACTGTGCCGTGCATAGTAGTTGCTCAGTAAGTCTGCTTTTATCCTGGGCCCTCTTACAGATCCGCATGTCTTACCTGATTTAGGTGAAGGGATGTGGCAACTAAGTAAATGATTATAAATTTACATTTTTTTCTTTTACCTTTCCTATTGATGTTAAATATAACATGTCGAAAAAAGTCATAAATCATTAAATGCAACCATTAAAAAATACAATATAATTTTCTTTGACGTTATCAGTGTGGCTCTGTAAGATTTTACTTTATAATTTGTTCTTTATCCTGCATATGAAGGGAGTTTAAAGCCCAGCAACACAAAAGAGGTAAGGTCATCTTTCTCAAACTTGGCATGTTCAACCATCCATAATACCGTTTTGCAAGAAAAGACACTATGGTAACAGGTGACAGCTAAGAATGAAATCATAGAATAATAGTTTCTCAAGTTTTCATCCCTAGGGTTCTTTTTAATATTTTTAGTACTTTCTCTTGTGGACCTCTTTGGCATCTTTTAGCTCTTCCTCTTCCTTGATCCACAACATTTGTGCTAACTTCTGTTGTATCATACGCACTGCATTGTAACTGACATACATCAGAAGCATGAATCACATTTTATTTTCCTTTTAATAACCTCTCTGCTCCACAGTGGGCTCTCAAATAATATTTGTTGAGCTGTGAGCAAGCATTCCTCTTACATATGTTGACTATTTATAATAATTTTAATAGATTTCTCTTCCTATATTGATTATATAATACTTATAATAGGTAATATTTATTGAACATTTACTATGTTCAGACATCATAGGGATTTTCAGTTAACAACTCATTTGTTCTCACAATAAACCCTGGGTGAACATCATTGCTGTCTCTGTTTTACTGATGAGAAAAATGAGATTGGGAGGGCTGAGAACACAGCTATTTCACTGAAGAACTGAGATTCAAACCCAGGCACTTAAACATGAGAACCCATGCCCTTAAATTGCTTTGACTATGAACTATATGTTGATTGTTTACCTGATGTTGCTTGTAAGCAGATTCATTTTGTTTTCTCTTAGAAGAGAGAGTATGCTTAGTGGAAAGGGCCAACAGACTTGGGAATCAGGCTGACCTGGGTTCTAATCATGATAGCTGGGGCAAACTGCTTAATTCTTACTGAGTCTCAGTTTCCCTATCCATAAAATGGGGATGTTAGAGGCTGAATATGAAGATTAAATGAGGTGACAGAGACAGGGTATTTCAAATGGGATCTGGCACCTAGCTGACATTCAGTTAAGTAGTAACAACTACTTAATGGGACTACTTAATTAGGACTAGAGGGTACTGAGCCTGACCACTGAGCCTAAAGTCAGCTCCAGCTGTCCTGAACTAACATTTCCTTTTCTCTCATCAACCAGGTATGTTCCTCTTCCCTTTGGTCTCATAATCTTAAATGCCGTCTCTATGCTGACATTTCCCAAATGTCTATCGCATCCCAGACCTAGACCCTGAAATTCAGTCTCTGAAAGCCAACTGCCTTCTCAGTACCTCTTTTCAGATTTCTAAAAGGCGTCTCAAACTCAGCATGAACAGAAGCAAACTCCTAATCCCAGCTCCCACCACACTGGCTCCTCCTATTGTTTTCTCCATCTCAGCACCAGGCAATCCCATGGAGAAGCTCTGGAGCTGCTCCTGAGTCCTGCCTTCTTTTATACCCCACATTTGGTCCATTGGTGAGCCCCATTATCTCCAATTTCAAAACATATCCAGAATCCGCCCACCTGTCATGCCTTCCCCCACTCCTCCTCCTGGCAAGGCCTCTGTATCTCTCCCCCGGATTATCGCAGAAGCTTCCCAAATGGTGACCTTGCTCCTGCTCTTGCATCCTTCCTACAGTCCAGTCTCGACCCAGCACACGCAGTGATCCTTTAGACACATAAGTCAGATCATGCCACTCTTCTGTTCAAAACACTCTTGTACTTCTCCAACGTGCTAGGGGGAAAAGCTTAAGCGATTGGGTCCCGTTGCTTTTCTGACCTAATCTTCCACTCTCCCTCTTGCTCACTCTGCTCCAGCCCAGTGGCTCCTGCTCCTTTGTGGATGTGCTATGCCTTCTCCCTCCTTAGGGGCCCTGCCATCTCCCCATGCCCGGATGAGTGAGTGCTTGGCACCTAGTAGGTACTCAACAAATATCGTTGGATGAGTGGCTTGGCTAATCATCTAGTAAAAGACTTGTGTTATGTGAGCGCCCCGTTGCTTCTTGTTGGCCCCCCACTCCCCACCCTGTAGCTTTTGCTGTGGTTCCTGGCAGTGACATCCTGACTCTCCCACTATGCCTGAGAAACCCACTTGACAGTATCTGTAAGAACTAGGATCAGGAAGATGAATCAGTCCCCAAATAGCTCCAAACTCTAGGTTTTCACCAACATTTTCATTCTCTTTCTCCTGCCCTCCAAACATTTTCTAGAAAAAGGAGCAAATTGACTCAGGAATTCCATTTTCTTTCAAGACACCTATATACTTCTTCTGCAGTATGAATGGAGGAGACAGAGGACCCAGTTTATCCAAGCTTGCCCTGGGTGACGGAGTAATGGCTGCAGATTCATCCTGCCTTGTGGGTGTTCTCAAGGACGCACAGAGAACAGTTCTTTTCCTGCTTCTAATACTTGTTGTGCTCAAAGGGTACATTTGGGCACAGACCATCTTTCTCTACAATAATGACTGCGATAAACTGCCTCCGCTGTGCCTCTGGAGAGCTGGGTCCCTGTCATATCCCCTAGCGCAATGGCTGTAGGTGTAAAAGCAGTTTAGTCCTTGAGAGTGTGTGTTGGTACCTTCCAAGGTGTTTTATGCACGAATAGCAAGGATTATCTACCCTGGAAATGGTTTGCGATCATGCAAACACTGTCATTCTTCTTTGTCTCCCTTGTAAGATTCTCTCAAATGACGGGATGGGCTAGGCATCTTTTAAAGGTGATTGACTACATTAGGGGGAATGACTTCTATTTACCACATGCTGGGATGTCACAGAGATCGGACTTAAAGTTTTCATCCAAGGTAAAGCACCAGGGAGCTTCCTTCTGATTCCCTGGGTTGCGGCAGTAGGAATGGCCTCCGTTCAGCTCTGGGAAACGCAGGGCGGTGAAGGTGTGCGTGTGCGGGTACTGGGAATTCCACGGCTGGCACTGTCGCCCTGATTTGGTCACGCTGACGGTGCCCCGGTAGTCCACACCTGTGTTGTTATAGCACTTGTGATCTGAAAAACACGTACAGAAAGCACAAACCATTAGAAACAAACAGGGGAGAAGCCGGAGCTCCCAGCCAGCAGTTTCCGGAGGGGAGGGCCGGTAATTAACCTTGTGGCCAAGGCTTCCCTGCTGGTCAGGGGCCACGAAGGGCAGGCTCCCTGCTTGCTGGGCTCGGACCCAAGGCCTGCCTTGCAGTTACATTCCTGGGAGGATTTAAAGCTTATGCTTCAGGGAAAAAAAAAAATCAGCTTTCCATGAGTATTTTAAAATGGAACACAGAAGAAATCGGAACTGGGATGGGACCTGGGGGCACAGGGGTAATTTCCTAGTGAATGGTTCAAGGAAGGTTCAGGCCAAACTTTTCCTTCCACTCTGACTGATGGCCTTAGACATGAATCATGTGATAAAGAATCTAGTTGGTAATTCATAGCCAATGTTATATGGGGCTGAGCGTTTGGGGTTTCTATCAGCAGTTAGGGCTCTCTCTGAGCTGATGGAGGGGGCGCCCTTGAGAAGCAGCCCTTGAATGTGACCACGGGGGCAGTAGCTTAAAAAACACTGCAGAATCTATTGGGTTGAACTGAAGGAGTCCGGAGGGGTAATGATAATAGTCAAAATGATGCTATTGAGCACTTACTATATGCTAAGGAGAGTCCTAAGCATTTTAGATGCATTAATTTATTTAACAAATAAAATAGTATTAACTACCGAAAGGAAACTAAAAAATTACCAGTGAGATTAATTCTAGGTGAAAGGTACATTTGCAGAGGAACAGCCTTTTGTCTGGCAGTGTTGAGAGCGTTGTAGACAAGAGAGGCAAATCCATATATTTTTAAAGTTGTGGTGCAATACACACACTATAAAATTCACCATTAATGCATTTCATACATTCACAATGTTGTGCAACCTTCACCCTTATTAGGGACTAGAACATTTATATCACCCCAAAAGGAAACCCCATATCCATTAGGCAGTCACTCCTTGCCAGCCGTGGGAATGACTAATTTGCTTTGTCTCTATGGATTCATCTGTTATGGACATTTCATGTAAATGGAATCATATGAGGGTGTCTGGCTTCTTTTACTCAGTATAATGTTTTCAAGGTTCATCAGATCACAGCATGTATCTGTATTTCCTTCCTTTTTTATGGATAAATAATATTTCGTTGTGTAGATATACCATGATTTGTTTATCCACCTATCCACTGACACACATTTGGGTTGTTTCCACTTTTTGGCTATTGGGAATAGTGTTGCTATAAACATTCTGATAGGAGTTTTTGTTTGAACACCTGTTCTTCAACTCTTTTGATCATATACTCAGAAGTAGAACTTCTGGGTCAAATGGCAATTCTATGTTTAAGTTATTCAGAAAACAGCCCCCACATTTTTAAGTTATTGTCTTCATGAAGCTTCTTGAAGATAATTATATGTAATCTACCACTGGATGCTCAGGCACAGTACTTAGCCCACTGGAAAGTAATCCAACCAACAGTGTGAATAATTACTGTGGGGCAAGGTCTGGTTCTCACTGTGTCATGGGGTTGGTGGCCCTTAGAACAGCACAGATCAGGGTTACTATTTACTTTAAAAGAGAAAATTTAATAGCAGACCATTCTAGTGACAGCAACCACTTACTTTTATTTATAGGATCGGCCATGGGGATTCCTATCCGGATGCAGTTTGCAGCTTCTGGGCTCTCTGGCTGCGGGAGATCTTCACAGTTTGGCAGTTTCAGCCTCATCAGAATCATGGGATTCGATCTTGCAAAAATGTATTCTGTTTGACACAGGACGTTTTCCAGGATTTCACATTCATCGCGACACAAGTCTCGGGGCTTTGGGACGGCTGAGGTTTCGTCACAGTATGGGAAGGCGTAGTGGCACAGGGAAGGAATGGCGAACTGAGAACACTTATCCGATAAGTGACTGGAAGTGCCGATCATGGTGAAGGCAGCTGAAAAACAAACATGATTATTAACTCCCAGAGGCTAGGGTTTATCTTCCCGGTTATCTAGTCACCGGATATCAGATATAAACACACGAGGGGAGGAATCTGCTGTGCTGAGACAGACAAGGCCGAGGGAAGGAGATTCATTTCAGATGTCTAAGCAGCTTACTTTCACTGGCTTGAAAAAAATCATTTTGACTACAAAGTTAAAAAAACAGGATTAAATTACATATGCACTGTTTCCTAATAAAAAAATTAATTAGGTTAAAGTACAATATATTTTTCATTTTTTACTACAAAGCAACAGAACGTTGTGTTTCATCTGGTACTTTTTATTACTTTTGTGAAACTTCCAAAACATTTGACAGCTGTGGGGCAGAGCTTGCTTTATTTGGTGGCAGAGGCTGAGCACAGAATTTAGTTCTGCATCTCGCCAGGTGGCAAGAGTGGCTGGAGGACTTTGGGGTAATTTGCTTAATTTCTTCGTGGATTGAATATTTTCTACTCCATCTTCTGAAAATGAGGCAATTTACCTGGAGGTTCTTGAAGAGCACAGTGCCATTGTTTCAGTGTGTGTCATAAAATATTAGTGGTTGCTTAGATTAACTTCTTATCCAGTAAGGCATCCACATACCAAAAGGGCACCAGCCTACCGTTGAATACCTCCCTCCATTGACAAGGAGCCTATACCTCACAAGGCAGCCAATGAGGCTGCTGATAAACTGTTTCTCAAAGTACATTCCTCAGAACATTGATCTGGTGCAGTATCAGTAGTGTTTGAGAAATTAGGATTACACAGTCAAATAAGTTTGGGAAATGTTGAGTTAATCAAAGCTAAATGGATTTTTTTTTTGTAAAAAAAAAACTGTATACTTTCCAGTAAGGTGATGCCCACTGAAAATCTCTAAGAGAGAATTATTATAAATGGGTTATCAAATATTTATGTCAAAATTCCCATTTATTTTTGTAAATACTTAAAGTACATTAATACATTCTTATATTAGGTTAAAATGTGCCTTCAACAGCTCCTCCCCGTCAGTCTGCCTTCCAGTCTTTGGAATTTGAGTCCTCTTCCTCTTGAAAGCCTGAGGGCTTCCGCAAAGGGCCACTACAGCTTCCCACAGTGGCTTCTCCTGGTTAAATATCACTTAGCTCCTCCATGTGCCTCATAGGACACAGTTTCTGACTTTTTTTGCTGTTCTGTGTTCCTGCCTTGGGTTTGTTCTGGCCTCTCCTAAATCCTAGAGTTGCCAGGTAAACTACAAGACAACAGCTACATTTGAATATCAGATAAACATTTGGGACATACTTATACTAAACAATTATCTGCTGTTTATCTGAAATTCAATGTCACTGGGTATCCTGTATTTTTATTCGCTAGGTCTTGCAACTAATGGATTGGCGAAAGGCACTCGGCACACAGGCGTAATAACTACTCAAATGGGAGGAGCACAGGCCTGCTGCAGCCACCAGAACTGGGTGTGGACAATCATACTAGGTGGCCTACACTCCCCTAACTCATGTGTTCTAGAAAATGAGTTTGATTGGAATTTGATTTCCATCGAAAGGATACTTTCAATGAAGAAACACGAAGGGTAAAATATTGAAAGCTAAAGCAGAAAGAGTCCTGTGGTCATCTTGCCCCATCACTCATGTCACAGGTGAAGAAAGAGATTTTCCTAGAGGGTAAGCAGTTTCCCCAAAGTCACTGTAATGACAGTTCTGGGATTGGTGTCCAAATTCTAAACTCTAAATTCATTCCTTTTCAGTCTGCATCATGTTGCTTCTAGACAGTAAGCTCTGTAAGGGCAGGGACATACCTGGCTCATTCACCACACCATCATGTCCCCAGTTCCTGGCACGCAGAAAGCACTCAGTAATATTTATTGGCTGTCTGAATGAATGTGAGACTTCTCAAAGCTTCCTTTTCCTCTAAGAGTAACCTTCAATAAATTATTTTAATGTAAATTCCAGAGCACAGAGATCATGTCTCATGCTTCTTTATGGTCCTGATCCCAATCCCCATGCCTGGCCTAACGCTTTGCCGAGAAGGGAACTCAATAAAGCTTTTGGTGAGAAAAATAGTTATTTAAGGGATGAATATAATTTCACTGGAGTAACCTACCTGTGATCTGATTTTCTATTTCCCCTTGCATGTGCAAAGACTCCATATAGACGGTGCGGTTGCCAATAAATCTCGCACATGCGATCCCTCTGTATGGCTGACAGAATCCATCTTCTTCATACTCATCTCTAAAAACAAAGCATAGACAGGAGCTGATGCGACACATCCACAAGGTACACTGTTGTCTCTGACTACGCGATGCCCCAAATAGTCACTAGGGGGCATAGTCGGGCACAGTATACTAAAGACTGGGCAAAGGAATGGGGCTCTTGCTCAATTTTTAAAAACATCACTTAAAACATCTGTTGGTCACGTTGGTCAAGTTTCCTGCACCTCCAGAAAATCATCCTGAAGCACAAACTCATCCTTAAATACGGGAGAAAATGCTTTTATTTTCGCAGCTGGTGGTGAGCTGGAAGATGATGTAGTTATAAGAGTTAAGAGGAAATGAGTTGGAAATCTGGGCACATGTTCTACAGTTTTTTGTTTTTTAAGTACAGATTATTTCTGCTTCATTTGCTACAAAGGCATGGGCGCATTAGCTGCAAGATCCACTCCGACTGACATGTCAATTAGGGGGCTCCCTGGGGTAAGAAGTGGGGTGCAGCTGGAAAGAAACCCGAGGTCAGCCCAGCTACGTGGCTCCTCACTGCTTAAGATCCATTATCTCCATGCTGCACAAAGAGGACCAGGGCAAAGCATGGGCCGGAGAATTCAAAATGAGTCTCTAAATCCAGGGAAATCTAGAAAATGTCCATGGAGACTTTGCTTTCCATGCTTCCCTAAATTTTTTTTTTAAATAGTCTTATTAAAATGTTGCTGCCTCAAAATTATAATTCAAAAAAGGGAGTGTTCGTAGATTTTATCTTGAAGACACAGGGACACCAGAAAGTGACATAATTAGTGACAGTGTGGCAAGGGAAGGGGCTGGAGATAGAAGGCTGGAGCTGAAGACCCAAGATGGTAGGTTCAGCTCGAAAGGACAGAGGCCGCACACACCCTCCTCCAGGGCTTAGCTGCCCACCATGTTCCTGGGCTGAACTCGACCCTGCATGCCACCCCCCAATACATTATCTCCACAAAATATCGTTTTCCTTCCTTGGTTTCTTCTCAACTAAAATATCTTAGAGCAAAAGTCAGGAGGACAAAATTCTCTTTCTGGGTTTCACATCTGGGCATCGGAAGGCAAGCTGTCTGAGACCTCTGAGCCACGGTTTTGTTATTTATTTACAAGCTGGAGATGATAACTGACCTCTCCACCCAACAAGTGAAAGTCATGACAATCCCATCACAAAATGCAAAAGATTTTTTGAGCTGTGGAGATAATATATAGTTATTCTCCAGTATCTACACAATGGACTGCGGTCTGTACTGTGGCGTTGCACTTCCCCACTTCGCGGTTTGGGGTGGGAGTCTAGAAAGCCAGTATGGCAGCACACCAAGTGAAAAAGAAATCTGATAGGTTGCTTGTTTTCTGCTGCTTTCTACTCTTCGTTAATTAAAACAGTCATTTTAAAGGTGGAGATGGGTGAAGTATCTTCGGTTGAGTCCCCGAAATAGTTTGTATTGCAAAGCTTTTAAAAACTTAAACGTTAAGTACACATATAAATGAATATATCATATACCTGACATAAAGACATTGAAATTTTAATGTTGCACAATCCTGCTAGCACTCCACATGTTTACTTTCATAAATCCTAGAGTAATGCTGAAGCCTTTTTGGCTTAAATTTTACTTGGGTTGTAAAATTAACCCAACTTTTATTGGGTAACTAATACCATAAACCTATGGGGAGAAAGAAGGTTTTCGATGACCTCGCCTTGGATCTTGGAAACCTAAGTACAGAGACCAGAATACACCCCCAGGCCACCCCCCTACTATTACAGATGATGCTTTTCTATCCCTGGGCATTAGCAGAGCCCTGGGTTTGTAAGGTGTCATTATGGGAACACGTTGTTCGCCCCCACATTAAACTCTCAAGGCCTCAATTTATATCTCTTGGGAGGACAAAACCCTGGAATTACCCCCAGATATAAATCCCTGACCTACTGGGAGTGCCCATATTTTATGTGTGAGGCTTAGGCTAACCTTCTTACCACCTTTCCAGTTCAAGACTCTTAAAAAGACTCTTTGAATACTTTTCCTCAGAAGAAAATGGAATGCAGTTCCTCAGCCACACATTTCTTATCAAGGGCTTAGCTGCAGGTGTATTGAATGTTTGACTGTGCCCAGAGTCCCTGCTATCCTGGCCAGTCTCTTGGGGGACAGATTAACTCCCCTGCCCCCCAAAACCCCAAACCAGCATGTAACATCCTCTGCTTGGGAGTAGTTCTTGGCTGCTTCTAAGAATCTCCTCAGGAAGCTTTAGAAATACCAATGTCCAAGCCCCACCTTGGACCTATTAAATCACACTCTCTGGGGATGAGGCTTAGATAGTCATGCTTTAAAAAAAAAAACAAAAACAAAAAAACTACCAGGTGATTTGAATGTGGCTGAGAACCACAGCACTAAAACAAACAAAAAAAGTGTTAAGTGTCTGCTGCTCTCTGCTGGGTACGGTGTTGGGTGCTTTCTTCAAAGCAGGCCCTGCTAAGGTATTACCATCCTTATTTTATAGAGGGAGAAACTCAGGTTCAGAGAAATGAAGTGATTTGTTTAAATTCACAAAACCAGTAAGTGTTGGAGCTAGGATTGAATCTGAAAATTCAAGCTCAGGCCATTACACCATGTTGTTAGATCTGTAACTATGTTCTGCTTTTCAATACTGCTCTTAATTAAGTCAGCCTAATCATAAATCTGAAAGAGACTACATGAGCCTTTATTCTATACCAGGCACTGTTAAGTTTTATATACTTATAATAAAATAGATATTAAGTTATTTAATCCTGACAACAATCTTATAAAGAAGGTACAGATGTGATTATTCCCATTTTACAGATGAGAAAACTGAGAGTCAGAAAGCATAAAGAACTTGTCCAAAGTTACACAGCAAGTAGGAGAGCTAGATTTGCCCAAAAGTGTTTGTAACCACACTACATAGCTTCCTTCCGAATGGTTTGGTTAGGGGAGTTTTTGCACTGCTTACAGGGGCTTTTTTGTTGTGAAGAACCTTTGGTGTATGCTGAGTGGCAAAAAGGTTTTCTTTTAAACATAAAGTCACAAGCACCTTTCACTCCTTTCCATTTTTCCTGCTGGCTTTGGCTGGAGGGGAACAAATGCTCCTCCAGCGTTACTCAGCTTTGTGCTTTGCTTCCAGCTCACACTCCTTTCATCATTGATGTCTTCCTGCTTCACTCCATGTTTGGCAAATTAAAAACATGAAGCAAGCGGCAAGGCAGCAAAAGTGCAAGGGCACTTGCTACGAGCGTGCCCACGGCTGCGTTCTATGGAGAAGAAAAGTGCATTGTGAGAAGGCAAATGGAATCTGGCCATTCATCACAGCGGCCGGCCCCAGCGTGCGCCGGCTACTTTACCACCATGTCAAGGTGCAGGGGTGCTTTGTGATGGGAACTCATGTTTCTCATAAAGGTAATTTCGTTACCACATTGCCAGCCTCTACAACCTTCCGTATTCGCTGTCATGGGGTTGGGAAAGGCAAACACAGCTTGCCCTCCACCTCCAGGGTCTCCTCCTTCCCCAGGGCAAGCAGCTTTTGAAGGATGCCGAGACAGCGCCAAGGCAATCATGGAACACCACGGCAGCGGTGGGAATCTCCATCCAAGAACCACTATAGGGCCAGGAAAGGAAACGCTGTTCCGCAGCGACGTTGTAACCCAGATCCTGCGAGTTTTTCCATCTTCCTTTTTGGGGACAGTTGAGCCTACGAACCTGAAGGATTGAGCCGCGCTGGGGATCTTGCTAGTCTCAAACCAGAGGGTGCACTTTGATCTTCCATGGGGTGGCTCAGCTCGCCCTGGGGCCTGGCACGCCCTCCACTCCCCTGTCCGCTTGGGAATGCCCTCTCATCTTTGAGACGTCCCCCCCAGGAAAGTTAGTCACCCCCCACCCCTACTCCCAGGGCCTTGATCAGACCATTCCACAGATTTCCGATTTCATAGAGTATTTAGGTTTAGCGGCCACCTTGCCACTGACTGACCAACAGAACTGTAAGGGATGGGGAGATTGGCCTAGGCTGGGCCACCAACGTGGACCCTTCTCTGTCCCAGGAACACCCTCTACACTGGAAGCCATTTTCTTCCCTGTCAGAACACAGAGGGCCTGGGAAGACCTCATAGACTTTTAGCTGAACGGATTCCTGTGGATGAATTTGGCCCTAAGAAGTTCTCTTTTAGGATAATAAGATCAGGCAAAATGCATACTTCTTAGTGAAAGAGAATGGGTGTATTTTGCTAACTGTAAAACCTCATGGAAACCAAAGAATTGAAAATAGGTACTCAAACAAATGCTTATACACAAATGTTCATAGCAGCACTATTCATGATATCACAATAGGTAAAAGGTGGAAACAACGCAAATGTTCCTCAACGGATGAGTAGAGAGACAAAATATAGTAGATGCATACAACAGAATATTATTTGACCATAAAAAGGAACAAAGTACTGAAACATACTACAATGTGGAAGAACCTCAAAAATATCATGCTAAGTAAAATAAGCTGGACGCAAAAGGCTATATATTGTATGACCCCATTTATATGAAATATTTAGAATAGATAAATCTACAGAGATGGAAAGCAGATTGGTGGTTGCCAGAGGCTGGGGGTGAGGAGGAATAGGAAGTGACTGGGTAAGGAATTTTATTCTGGAATGATGAAAATATATTGGAACTAGATAGAGGTGGTGGTTGTACAACATTGTGAATGCACTAGCTACTATTGAATTGTTCACTTTTAAATGGTCAAATCTATGTTATGTGAATTTCACCTTAATTAAATATATATATATATATATTTATATAATATTTATATAATATTTCTATAATATTATATTTATATAAATATATATATATATCTTATTTATACATAAGAGCCAAGGTAGAGAGACCTTGGGAGAAGGCCAATGGTTGGAATTTCAAGCCTCAGAGTTGGGGAGAGATTTTGGGGGCAGTTTTGTGGGTCACTTCCAAGCAGACTAACCTGATAGAACCATTAGCAATGTACACAGTATCA